GGGGGTGAGGGCCCTGTAGGGGTGAGGGGGTGAGGGCCCTGTGGGGTGAGGGGGTGAGGGCCCCATAGGGGTGAGGGGGTGAGGGCCTCGTGGGGCCGAGGGACCCACCTGGCCGACGTAGGTCTCCCAGCACTGGTCCTGGGGGCTCTGGGGGGGCGGCGCGGTGCTGTTGGCCCCGGGGAGGGGTGTGGGGTAAGCCGGCACGCGCGTCTCTTCCAGGCCCCAGGTGCTGTTCCTCCCGAGTCCCGACCCTGGCTTTGCGGGTGCTGTGGACCAGGTTCCGTGCTGGTAGGTCGCCCTGGTCGCGAAGAAGGCGGTGGGATCCACCCGGGGTCGCGTGCCGTTCCCCACAGAAGCGTCCTGGGAGAGGCGCAGGGAAGGAGCTGAGACCCCCACACGCTAACAGAGCACAGAGGCGCGCTGCTCAGGAGCGATCTCCCGGCCCTCCCTCCCCTCCCCTGGCCTAGAGATGTGGACGCTGCCTGTGGACCCACCGGGAGTCCCCGGTGAGGCTGGCACTCAAGCGGGTGGAGACCATTCGCAAATGCTGCTCCAGGGCCCACCCAGGTCTGGGGCCTCAAAGCCTTGATGCAGAAAAATGGCTCCCCACAGCCCCGCCAGCCTCCACCTCCCGTCCCGGCCAGCACCCGGGCGAGGAGCCTCAGGAAGCCCTCCCCTGCGGTCCGGGTGGCCGGCCTGGCCGGTGGGCAGGCCCACGGACACTCATGGAGAGGCCTGCTGGGCTGGCATGCTGGGCCTCTCCTCCTGCGCTGGCCGTGGGATTCGTCTCCCGGATGGTCCGTGGAGTCCCGCAGCCGCTGCTGTGCCTGTGGCCATTTGTGAGAGCTGCCCTCAGCGTTCCCCAGGGCACCCAGCGGGCCACAGACGCACGTCAGCACCCCGACCTCAGCTCCGCCACTTACCAGCCAGGATCCTGCCCCAGGGACTCGCCCGGGTGTGGGCTGATCTCCCCGCCTTTACCCGCTGCTGGCCCTGGACACGGCTTGTGGAGGGCAAGGGTTAGCTGTGGACCTGACGTCCATGAGGGCCACGGCCACTCACCCCAGTGCTCATGCTGTTCACCTTGTCCAGGAGGGCGATGATCAGGCTGTAGAGATTCCCCAGGTACAGCACGAGGACCCTGGAGACAGAGCCCCTCAGGAACAAGCCTGCCCCACGCAGGCCCCCAGGCCCAGGCTCCCAGGCCCAGGCCCCCGACCAGCCCCGTCCTTGATGCACCGGACAGCCTTTAAATCACCCAGCTGCTATAAAACCGATTCACCACGGCCCCGGGTGGTCTGTGAGCCCCTCTGCCATCCGCCACCCCAGCTCAGAGTGTCAGGGACCCCAGCGTCGTTGGCTGGTGGCTCACACTTATAATCCCAGGTACTCTGGAAGCAGAGACTGGGAGGGGTGTGCTTTGAGGCCAGACTGGACAGAAAGTTAGTGAGACCCTCTCTCCACCAGTCATCTGATGTTCTACATTAGAAGGCCACCGCAGGGGAGGCTGGGATAGGAGGATTGCTGTCTGAGGCAGCCCCAGGCAAAAACCATGACTCTATCTGAAAAATAACTAAAGAAACAAGGCTGGGGGGGGGGCAAGCAGCAGAATATCAGAGAAAAAAGAACAAAAAGGAAGGAAGGGAGGGAAGAGGAGGGAACGGAGAGGGGGGAGGGGAGGAGAGGGGAGGGCAGGGAGGAGACAGCCCAGTGCCACAGAGAGGCTGGAGGCGGGCGGGCGGAAGGGCGTGTGTGCCCTGCATTCTGGCTGAAGCGTTTTCCCTCCCACCACAGCACGGATCCTCACACTGCTACAATCTCCATCCAAGGGACAGGGCCCCAGATCGCAGAGGCCGCTGGCTGAAACCAGCCTCCGGAGGGAGCAGGCTCCCATCTCTGCTTCTGCCTCTCGGTTGCCGCTGTGCCTAGGGTCAGAGCTAAGGCCGCCGCCACCCTCTGCCGAGGAGTTAACGGAACGGAAGCAGTGTCTTGCTCTTAGCATCGTCTGGGCCGGGTCTCTCGGCGTCTCTGTTTCTCTAGTTTTAAGCATGACTGAAGAGGCCAATCTGTGTAATAGGATTGCTTTTAGACCAAATGCAATCACAGAATCGATTCTCTCCATGGCTGCTGGGGAGGAGCAGGGGAGAGCACTGCTCGCCCAGGTCAGAGAGGGCACCCAGGGCCCGGAGTCTGGGCCCAGCCTCAGTTCCCGTTGACCCTGGGTGCTGAGGTTTTGCCCAACCTCTGAAATGGCTGTTGGTGGATTGCGCCCTTCAAATGAGATCTGTTGGAACAAGAGCCAACTTTGGCCAGTGCTCCTGGCTGAGAGTCACACCTGGCCTGGAAAACGTAAAACATTCACTGACACATCCTCTCCTCCGAGATGCTGGCTGACTCCTGTGGGACCAAGTATGGGGGCAGTGGGAGGAGGAAGAAGGGCCGGGCCGTCCCGACTCTGGAGGTGTGCGGGGCTTGCCCGGACAGCGCGGCTCCCGCCGCTGACCACCCAGAGCCCCAGCAGCACCAGGCAAATCTGGAAGAATCTCTGATCTGACCTTGTGGGAGCTATTAGCAGAGCAGTCTGTTCCTCTGTTGTCTGGAAAATTCCTTCCCAGCAGAGGACAACAGTGAGGAAAACCAGACCTGCCTTTCGCCACCTTGCGCTTCCTTTTTGTTTGTTCCCTGCCTGCTTTTCTTCTTCTCCTCTTCCTCCTCCTGCTCCTCCTCCCCTCTCCTGTTCTTTCTTCTGCT